ATCGTCGAATCGTGATGATGAGTTTTCTCAGGCGCTGATTTTTTATTCTGAGAGCAGCGTTCTTTCGTAGAAACGTTATGTTTTGAAGATTTTTAAACTATAAGCCTTTAAAACTTGCATCGCCAACGAGTCGATGTGGAAGGTTGCGACAGTTTCGAGCAAGTTATTTACTTAACCAGTAAAACATCCGTCTAAACAGCTTTCTGATTTGCCTTGTTAAGGTCGCTGTCAACCTTATAGATTTCGTTTCATCATTTTGGTCTATCGTTATAATAGCTTTGGGCCGTGGCATATAAGGACGAAGGATAGAGCAAAAGTAAAAATCTTGCAAATGCAAAATCGTCACAATGTGTTCATAAAGTGCTATTCTCTTCACGTATAACATGAGGAGATTAGGCAACTCACGAAGTGAATACTGTTCTACATTGCGATTTATATGATGCTCAGATCCGATGTCACACGGTAATTTCGAGTCTACCCTGTCAAGATTAGACTATTTCTTGGTGAGTGGAGGGGGTGGGGTTAATATGGCACTATCGTGTAGCTGTTCACCGCGATCATGGATTTATATCTATTGACGTACGTTCAGTGAACGAATTCATTCTGGTTTAGCTGATGAAGTATAACGAGTGATCTCGTCAAACAGGATTTTTGCCGTTTTCCTGTTTTTGCCGCTGTGTAGCTTTGTCGCCGATGTTCACGCCCCAGCGTGCTAGCAAATATCGATAATGGGTATAGGATTTTGTCCTTGCCGGAATGCACTGGTGGTAGTGGTTATTCGTATCTCTGTGATTGTCTCATTGACAGCTGCTTGATCTGGTTGGTGTACGTCGATTATTCTTTCCTTGTATCAATTCTGTTTTCCGCAGTAGACGCTCGTAATAACATAATTATGTTTCGATAGTCAACTTGTGTCATTCGATCATCCGGTTAATATGCGGTCGTTTTTATGCATAAATAAAGGTACTGTTTATGCGCCATTTTGGACAGGTTTCAGTGAAATAAATTTTTGATCGTCAGTGAGTCTGTTTTTGAGAAATATTCATCGCATTGTCGATTATGCGTATATATGGATGCGGATTATTGTTGCGTAATGTCAATGCAGAGTGTCGCTGATTCAGTAATGCTCGCCGCGTTCATTCGTTCTTTTGGATATTTATTAATTACATATGAATATGCTATGTTTCGTTGCGCTTGCTGTGCTGCTGCGTGCGACTCGATCTCGTCGGTCTCATGACCGATGCTCGCATCGCAGGCACACTGGCACCTCGCTTATTTGACCATTGACGCAGGCACACATCACTTTGCTGGTGTTTCAGCAGCACGTGCAGCAAACTGATTCCCGTTTGATGACTTTCGATGAGGTAATGGCCGTCAAGCAGGCATTTGTGAAGTGGTCAGACGCCTTCCGAGCAAAGTTGGACAAGGTCGCCAAACCCGGCAAGCAGCTAGATGTCGTCAGTGACCAGCTGCAGTGGCTGAAGGTACGCGTCGACCGCCATTCCTTTCATTTTTTGTTCTTCCCAGTTTCTGTTTACATATTAAATTGCACGTGAAGAAGATTACTGCTTGTTTTAAGATGGCTTCGAAAATCAATGCACAGTTATACAGAGTATACTTGAAAATGCCGAGCATTATGTACGGAAAAGTAGATGCTGCAGCAGACATTTGGCAAGGAGTAACGGTTGACCAACGATGAGAGGAACGATACAGGTGCTTCCGACATGGAATCAGGTCGTCCTCGTTGGGTAAACTTTGGGTAATCAAGGGTACCTACAATTTACGAAATATGCTTGTCCTGCATTGCAAGCAATTTCAAGGCCTGTACTTCAGCTCGAACATTAGTATTGTTCGAAAACTTAATGCTAAGCTGGATTGTGCCTACAAATTTTGCTGCCAAAACGGTGGCCTTTTCGATCTGACCTGATTTGTAATCGAGTGTCACCACACTATGAATTAATTAAAGTTAAAAATGCCTTTATTCCTTTAAAGCGACCTCCGTTTCTACAAAAATCGATGACGTTTTCGTACTGCCAAAGTTAAATTTTTGATCCCTAGTGAAGAAATCGGATGTTTCGTATTATTCCCCACCTACTTTAAAATTCCAGCCAACAACCTCACTCAACAGATTGAGTACTTTGAGCAGCGGAAGCGAGAGTTTTGGGTCTCGATAAAATCTTGGTAGATTCAATCGCGATTCGGCATCGCTCATCGTCCCAGCGCTGATTCAACAACAAAATGATTTGCCTTCTTTTATGATGGTCGTCCAAAATGACGCCAGTGAAATTCTGAAGGTTTGGAATTAAGCCCGTGTTCGTGTTCGACTACTGTCAAAAATTTATCGAAATTCGTTGCTCATTTTTCGTTTAATTGTTTAGGTAGTTTAGTTCGGATACATAGCATGCGCAACCACTTTTGAATCCGCTTCAGCAGTCACAACGGTCTTACATCTCAAATGGCTGAGGACAGGGTCCAGAGTGGAATGGTTACCCTCCTACCAGCTTCTTGCCGATCGCTTTAAAATTACCACCAACTATTTATTTTACTAGTAGTCCTACTTTTAGAGCCAATATGTGCCTGATATAATACTGATTGTAGGATGGAAATCGGTCACTGTATGCGTCTTAAACTTGCGTGTGTCTCGTTACGAACTCATCAGCTTCCTGTTGCAACCTTTGCCCTTACGCCCGAAACGCACCAACAACATGCATAGCCTTGCAACCGAAACAGCGCTTGACATCCAGAAAAGAGTCATGTTAATTTCACCAGGTTTCACCCGACCCGCACATG